CACGAGTCCACAAACTGGATGGAGCGGCGCGTTTTGATGGCCGCAATGGCCGCGTTGACGTCCTTGGGCACCACGTCGCCCCGGTACAGCAGGCAGCACGCCATGTACTTGCCCCGGCGCGGGTCACACTTCACCATCTGGTTGGAGAACTCAAAGCAAGCGTTGGTGATCTCTGGCACCGAGAGCTGCTCGTGGTAGGCTTTCTCTGCCGAGATGATGGGCGCATAGGTGGTGAGGGGGAAGTGTATCCGCGGGTAGGGCACCAGGTTGGTCTGGAACTCAATCAGGTCAACGTTGAGGGCACCATTAAACCTTAAGGAGGCGGTGACTGATGAGACAATCTGCCCAATGAGCCTGTTGAGGTTGGTGTAGGTGGGACGCTCGATGTCCAGGTTGCGGTTGCAGATGTTGTAGATGGCTTCATTGTCCACCATGAAGGAGCAGTCCGAGTGCTCCCGGGTGGTGTGAGTGGTGAGGATGGAGTTGTAGGGCTCCACCACTGCTGCGGAGACCTGCGGGGCTGGGTACACAGAGAACTCCAGCTTGGACTTCTTGCTGTACTCCACAGAGAGCCGCTCCATGAGGAGGGAGGTGAACCCAGAGCCTGTGCCTCCTCCAAAGCTGTGGAACACCAGGAACCCTTGGAGGCCACTGCACTGGTCAGCCTGCAGCAGAACAATGTGTAGTTACCTCTCTCAATTAAGGACTAGAATAACTATCCCAAATAATACAGCAATAGATCTGCTTAGATCACTTAGTGGCCAGTGTGCACCCTGTCCCTAGAGAGGATTCACTCAGTACATCACCCTGCTGAGCATCTGAAGTATACATGTGTTAATCAAGAGCAGCATTTCCATGGTGCTACCATAGGTAGCTCTGTCTGGTCAGATGGGAACTCTTGGCAAATTGCTCCCTTATCAGCTCAATGCAGAGCTCAGCACCTGAGAGGGGATTGAAGGGTCCTAGACCCTTAGGAGACATCTCGAACACATTTCACCAACAGACATTCAAGTATTCTACAATCCCACTTCACTCACATCAAATGTGGAGTTTGATCTTCCCAGCCTGGCTCCCAGTTATCCATTTAGAATGAATATCCCCATTGCACAACCAGGGTGTGTTTGCTCTGTGGGCAAAAGTCCTTCTCTTCTATCTCTTGGGTCTAGTGTTGTGTAACTTCATACACGTATGATATGCAATGACAGTTGCTTTTAGAGCAGGTTCAGATGGCCCCTTGCTTTACTGAGCACCAAAGCTAATTACAGCAACAGCCACTCTTGGAGCTCACATAAAGGGTTTTCTTCTTTGAAGACATTTACCCCAACCCCAAAGTGTAATTGTGTTGTCCATGGAGTGTTACTTTAATGAAAAGACTCTCTTTTCTCTTACCATCTTACGAATTCTGCTGAGGACTGTGTCTATAATCTCCTTGCCAATGGTGTAGTGGCCACGGGCATAGTTGTTGGCAGCATCTTCCTTGCCACTGATGAGCTGCTCCGGGTGGAAGAGCGCGTGGTAGGTCCCAGTCCTGATCTCATCTACACAAGAAGGAGCAGTCATGAAGAGCAGCACAACAGTTACAGGTTCTGTGACAGTAAATCACACAGCAAACCTACCAGGAACCCATGAGAGAAGGTGGTCATGGCATGGTTACTTCAGACTGGGAGTAATGGAAGGAGTAAGGATAATCCCAACCAAGGTCCTATTACACCTCCTCCATCTTCACCCAGCAGCTACCTTGGGAGCCTAATGTAATTTAGTTTAAAGATTTAGGACACTGCCTGCATTCCCAACATTACTGTGGGATTACAGTTACCACATCAAAAGGTTTGGGTTGGAAAGGACCTTAAGATCATCTACTTCCAACCCTCCTGCTTTTCTGCTTGTTGCAAAGCATCTGGGGGGTTGGGCTGGAAGCACCACCTCCATCCTCTGCTCTACGTTGTACTGAAGAAGAAACAGAGTGCCTCCAGAGTTAACATCTCAGCTAGATGCATCTGACCCAGCTTTGGGCACCCTATGAAGACAGGCGTTAGGAGCAGTTTCTCTAGGTTCCATGCAGTCAATGCGGTTGGAGGCACCTCCAGGGGATATTTAAACTAACTCGGTCTTAATATTGGACACTTTTCATATTCTACTGGCTCACTAAGTTCTCAGTGCCTTAATAAGGTGCCTAAAAATGAAGTGGAACCAAACCAAAAGTCTGCATTCCTTTTGTTAGATGAAATAATGAGTCACACGTCCCAGATGTAAGATAGGAGCAAACACTCAGGAGAAACCTTGAGGGCAGAAGCAGGTAGATGGATGCAGGTGGTTGGGAATCATTTCCACCAGTTCCTTGAGCAAAAGGGGATTTGGTTTCTGGGAAGGTGCTTTAAATCAAAATGCCAGAACTGAATGAAACACCCAAAGATCGCTAAAGGGGCTGGAAAGAGAAGCAGAAAGTTTGCAGTAGCAAGACACCCAGCTTCCACAGAGCCGTGATCACCCTTTCTTCACCCAAAGGGTGCTCAGGCTGCCCAGGGCAGTGCTGGAGTCACCGTCCCTGCAAGTGTTCACAGCCCATGTAGCCGAGGCCTTAGTGCCAGGGGTTAGTGGTGGCCTTGGCAGGGCTGGGAATGGTTGGGCTGGATGAGCTTAAAGGTCTTCTCCAACCCAGCTGATTCTATGAAATGTGTTGCACCCATCTGCCCAAAAATGCTTCACAGGTAGCATTAGAACCAGATGTGCCACATGTGCTGGTGTAACTCAGTCTAGAGCCACTGAGGCTGACAAACCCATGGTGCTTTACACCTCTGAAGATCCTGCTCAAGACAGCACAGCTCTTAAAAGGAGGGACCAACTAAAGGCAAGTCAGTGTAGGAAGAGCAATAGGTTTGTCACTCCCATGTCCATTTAGAAACAAACTCTATCTCCTGATGGCTGGAGACATTTTACTAGAGCAGAGGAATGGGAGCTGCTGGGTGACAGGAGCAGCGCAAACCCCAAGTAAGAAGGGTCAGGAGTCACAGTTAAAGACACCACGACAACCAGTTGCCCCACTCTTACCTATCACGGTGGGCTCCAAGTCTATGAACACTGCCCGGGGCACGTGCTTCCCAGACGCTGTCTCACAGAAGAAGGTCTCGAAAGACGAATCCACTTGTTCAGACTTTGGTTCCACAGGTTTCACCTGCTTGGGGCCAGGAATGGTCCCATCCGCCTGGATCCCATGCTCAAGGCAGTACAGCTCCCAGCAGGCATTGCCCATCTGCACGCCAGCCTGCCCGATGTGGATGGAAATGCATTCCCTCTGGAATGGGAAACAGAGTTAAGGTGGTTTTCAGACATCCTGTGACTTAGCACTAACCCCTGTGGTTCTATGTTGGAGATGATGAGGGAAGCAGGCGGCTTCCTCCCACCGCTGGGAGTTGGAGCAAGGATCAAGCCATGGTCTGCAGGGCAGCTGGATCTGCACACACAGCATCCCTAGGAAGGGCTCTTCCAGCCCAGAGGGGGAGGGAGGAAGGAAGGAGGTGATGGGCTTCCCACTGAGGCAGGAAGCAGCTGAGCAGTGCTGGCTCCTCGCTCAGTGCTCCACTGCCATGGAGCAGAGCAGCCACCAGTTCCCCAGGTCCCAGAGCAATGGGACATCAGAGACAACAGCTCCAGGCTCCTCCATCCAACAAAACAACCTATGAACTAAGCAGGGAGAAGCCAAGCTTGGGAATTCCCCAGCCAAGCTGGGAGTCACAGCAGGAAACAAGCAGTTGCCCAGGGCCAGAGCAAGGGCAGGATGAGAGCCAGGGAAAGGCTCCGAGTCCTCACTTAACCAGGTCACCCTCCAGGAGCCTCTAACTCACTCCAGGGCAGTACTGAAGGTTCTGGCGTCTCCTGGAGACTCTCTGATGGTTGTGTGCTCCCTGGGTAATTGGCATCTCTGCTGTTTCCACCACCCCGACATCAAAGCAGTGCTGCAGCAATGACAGAGGCTCCCATCCCAAGCAGAGAATCCCAATTACTGCCATGCCTGGCATGGGGCAGTGCTGCTTCCCAAGGGATCACCAAGAAAGGGAGCTGGTGATTCCACCTGTGGATGGCAAGTCCCACTATTTGCAGCTTTGATGGGCAGCTTGGTTCAGGTCTCACCTCATTTCCTATCACCACCCTGTTCTACCCAGAGCTGGAGGTCTCCACAGATAAGCCCTGTTCCAAGTAGCCCACGTTGGGTAGGGCATAGCAAATGCCACTGACAACCCACTTATCTCAGGGCTGAGAGGACACGGTGTGTGCACAGCCCCACACGTAACTATCCTGCCAGAAGGACTCTGCCCCTTGAATGTCTCCAAGTAATGCTAGACAGCCCTGGGCACCAACCACTTGTGGCAGCAGCCATCAGAAGAAGGGTGCAGCACAACAGGGAAGAGACCTTTCAGCAGGGCCTGTTGCAATAGGATGAGGGGTGATGGTTTTAAACTAAAAGAGGGAGATTCAGGCTGGACAGGGGAGGAAATTCTTTACACTGAGGGAGGTAAAACACTGGCACAGAGTGGTGGTGGATGCACCATCCCTGGGGAAATTCAAGGCCAGGCTGGATGTGGGTCTGGGCAACCTGGTCTAGTTGAAGATGTCCCTGCTCATTGCAGGGGGTTGGACTGGATGAGCTTTGAAGGTCCCTTCCATCCAAGTTACTCTATGAACTTCTCTCCACTTAAGAGTCCAAGCATGGATATGCCAAGACATTTCTTAGCCCTCGATGGCCACTGCACACCCTGATCATCCACCATAAAGCCAAACACCAACTGCCGGTACCACAGAGAGACACCAACCCCCTTTACCCACATCTTAATCCCAGTGTGAGCCCGGACCACCCGTCCTGCTGGGCGTGGAGGCTGTGTTTAAGTCCTCCCTCTCCCAGTTGATATTTGCACTATGTGGGAAATGCTGGCTGCCATTTGCCCATCCCTCGCAGTAAGATGGTTGCAATAGCTCCTTGCCACAGCTTGCAAGGGTCAGTGCTGTGGGTGCTTCTCCAGCACGGGCTGGGACAGCTGCTCCACTCACTATCCTCTCCCAGCTCCATAGTCCCAGCACCTGCTTCCAGGGAGCACTGGAATTTTCAGCCCAGAGCACAGGAATGGGAACAAAAGGAGAGGAAAGCCAAGAAGGAAAAGAGGGGGCTGCTGGAAGGAAGAAAGAGCAGCTTTTCCTGCAGGTTTCTCCCCACCCTGCCACCCCCTTGATATGCCAGAAGGATTTCTTTTGAGATCTCAGTTCTCCAACATTTACATCAGGACAAACTGCATTTTACAGGCTCTGGCTATAGGCAGCCTATTGTTGTCCAGCTGATTTTCCCATTGGGAATACCATGTAAATGTTTAACTGTTTTCTAGCCAAGGCAGATAAAAGAAGAAGTTCAAACGCTGGCTTGCTGGGAAGTACTTTGAAGTTTTCCTCCATTTACAACATGCAAAGGGACTCCAACAGATTTTCCAACAAGTTACTCTTTGCATTCACAATAAGGTGTAAGTTATGTTGTTCTTTACAACAAGTTTCAGCTGAACCAGCCAGAACTGCTCAGAGTTGAAGGGTTTTTAGTAACCACATTAATCCACCTCCGTTTCACTGCTGCAAACTCTTTAGACCCAAGATTCAACTAAAAACCTGGAAGGAGAAAGGGGCTTTATTAGTTTAACATCTAATCCCAAGGGTTTGTAGCAGACAAAGGCAACATGGCAGCTCACTCCTAAGGAAGGAAAAAACCTAAAGGTCTGTGTAAGTTGCACCAGTTCCCTGTGGCAAAGCAAAAGCTGAAGTGTTAAACTTTGGGAAACCAGGAAACAAAGGCCAGCAATGTCAGAACTTAAACCCCAGTTTACCACATAGTTGTGTGTTAAGATACACTGGTTCCCCCCCGCAAGAGTAAACCCCAACTTGCATTAAAGAGCCAGAAACTTCCCAACTTTCCAGCCCCCACCTCAGGACCTGCAAACTCCGAGTGGAAAAGCAGCGAGAGACCATTTAAATAGTTCTTCTCCAAGCATATCCCTCACTTTTCCCTTATAAGGAGCAAACGTTGACTCAACAACCCATCAGGTAACCAGCAATTCAACAAAGCTGTTTGGAATTAACATTCCCAAGCTAAAGGAAAAGGGGAAAAGGAAAAGAAAAGCAAACTGTTTAACTCAGCACGTTGGAAAACACACAGTCTCTATGTTAAGTTTAGACCAAGACAAACACAAGACATGCTCTTACCATGATGAGACTGGAGGCTCACTAAGATCTAAGTCAAACAGCTGCTGCCCTGCCTCTCCCTGCAACTTTATAGCCCAGGAAGGCTGGACTCCACCTGAATAGAAAGCAGCTTTCTGCTAACTTAAAGGAGCAGAGCTCCTTTTCCTTTGCATCCCGGGAAATAAACAAGGGATAAAAGGATCTCTTAGGGTCCAGCTGGTGGGATTGCTGTGATGAAACACACTTGGTTAGGGTGCAGTGTGAGCTTATTTCTTCTTTTCCAAAGAGCCTCAAATGGGGGGAAGAGGGGAAAAAAGTGGTGGTGGAGAAATAGATGCCAAATCTGGGGGTTGGCTAAAAAGAAGGAAACTCTGTGGAAGTTTGTGTCCCCCCAGTATGGTTTTGATCCAGCAGAAACAATCTTCCCCTGATCATTATTGCACTGATGCGCTCTCTAGACAAAATAGACAAAATAGTTTGTCTATTTTTAGGTACAAACCTGCAATTTTTGGGCTTTGTTCCATACGCTCAGTGACCTTCATGGGAATCTGCTACTTGTGCATCTCTGGGATGTTCAGGTGTAGGGTCAGACCCTCATTTGCCCTTTTTGCTGGTCATTACAGGGCCCCTGCCAAAAGCTGACATAAGGATTCTGAGACAGTTTTGGCTCCATCCTGCAAATCACAGAGTCCCAGCCCGGTTTGTGTTGGAAGGGACCTTACAGCTCCTCCCGCTCCAACCCCTGCCCCGAGCAGGGAACCTTCCACTAGAGCAGGTTGCTCCAAGCCCCTGTGTCCAACCGGGCCTGGGACACGGCCAGGGATGGGGCAGCCACAGCTTCTCTGGGCACCCTGTGCCAGCGCCTCAGCACCCTCACAGGGAAGAGCTTCTGCCCAAGAGCTCATCCCAATCTCCCCTCTGGCAGGTTCAAGCCATTCCCCTTGTCCTGTCCCTCCATCCCTTGTCCAAAGCCCCTCTCCAGGTCTCCTGGAGCCCCTTTAGGCACTGGAGCTGCTCTAAGGTGTCCCCTTCAGGAGCCTTCTCTTCTCCAGCTGCCCCAGCCCAGCTCTCTCAGCCTGGCTCCAGAGCAGAGCTGCTCCAGCCCTCGCAGCAGCTCCATGGTCTCCTCTGGAGTCACTCCAACAGGGTAGCAAATGGGTAGGTTCATCTTTAAGACTACTCTGGATCTGCACTGTAGTCTCAGTAGTACCCGTGTGGTTACAAGCTGCAAGTAGACAAGAGTAGTTAGTGGTAACTTATTTCCTAATTCCCTTATATCCCTCTTCATTGTCCCATTACAATGTTCCCAGACCTTCTTTGGCTCTGCCATAGTTGCTACACGTTGACAGCTCCGGGTTTGGGGAGAAAACCATGTTACAAACTGTAGCAGTACAAGCCTCAGCAATCCAAGGGCAGGAAGTTTTCCCTCTGTTCAGCGCTGGTGAGACCCTCTTTGCTTACTGGGGCCAGCTTGGGCTTCCCAGTACAAGATAGACATTGGTATAGTGGAGCAAGTCCAGCATAGACCACCCAAATGGTTGGATTTCGAGTACAGGACATAGGAGGAAAGGGTATCCTCAACAAGGAGAGACCTTTCAACTCACCAGGAAGGTGGTCAGACGTTGGAGCAGGAAATATATTCAGAGCTCATTTGTGCAAGTCCTCATCAACCCGTTCTAAATTGACCTCAAGGTCTTCTTGAGGCAAAACTAGCCCTCTCCCAAGGTCCTGTGTGTACCAACCTGTTTGTGGGAACATCCTCAGCCAAAGCATGAATTTCCTTGGAGAAGTTTTATTTCCCTTTGTGGTGTGAACACCCCGAGCCTGCAGCATGGTGGGTGCTCACCCTGCTGAGCCCTGGGGACATTCAGCCTTGAGGGACAGAGACATGAGCTGACCTGCAAGAGGATGGTATCTGTGCGAGAGCTCTCCTCCACTGGCATGTTCAGCCCAGCCTCTGCCTCTGAGGGCAGATGGGAGCGTTACCCTGTGTCCCCTTGAGGCTATGCCATGGATTTAGGGAATTCAAGCCAAGCAGGTTGGGCACATGGCTATGCCTGTTTTGGGAGTGGGGGAATTCAGCCATCATTGGGTCAGGCAGGGTTCTTTCGTTAGACAGAGCATCATGCAAACACTGTTCACAGTGTTGTGGCCTCCAAGTGTCTGCTGGGAATGAAGCTGGTCTCTGAGTAGAGAGAAGCCTGGAATCATGGAATGGTTTGGATTGGAAAGGACCTTAAGATCACCCAGTTCCAACCCCCTGCTATGGGCAGGGACACCTCACACTAGACCATGTCACCCAAGAAGCTATTTATTCCTGGCCTAAACCAAGAGCCTTCCAAAATGTGTGCACCAAGCCTGCTGGTCAGACAAGATCTTCTCTTTCCAAATGGCCCCTGTTCCTCAATGAGCAAATGGGTAATTCAGGCAGTTTAGAGCATGAAACATTTATTCCTGAAATGATGAGGGTTTGATAAACCCCAAGACAAAGAATTTGGGGTCTGATTTCTGTCTTTCTTGAGAAATGGAAAGCAAAAGGAGCATTGCTGCAGTGTGGTGGTGACAGAGACAAACCTGCCACGATCTCAGCCCCAAGACATATTTAGAACAGCAGCAACAAGAAGAACAGAGACCACCCCCCAGAGGACCCGCTGCAGCAGCTCCCAGCCTTTTTATAGCCAGCCTCACAGCTGCTGCTGCTCCTTCTTACCTCTCCCATGCCCTAAATATTGCCTCCTCACTGTCCCTGGTCTTCTTACTGCTGTCCCCCCCGTGTGGTTTGGCACCAGCTGCTGTTTGCCTCTACACAGCAAATCCTTATCCATGAGGATGGTGGATGAGTCCTGAGATTGGAGAATTGACCTATGGCCATGCTCTGGGCAAGCACTTGACTCTTCAGGCTGCTGAGGAACAGAGAAGGTGTTGCTTTGGAGAATGGCATTTAAATCATAGAATGATAGAATGGTTTGGGTTGGAAAGGACCTTGAGATCATCCAGTTCCAATCCCCTGCCACAGGCTGGGACCCCTTCCACTAGACCATGTCACCCAAGACCCCGTCCAACCTGGCCTTGAACAGGTCACCCTTCAGGCCTATCGTTTGCTTTTGTTAAAGATGCCCCCATGGAACCAAAAGGGTTTGGCTCTGGAAGAGGAGATATTTTGTTCAATATTAATCATCGGTGTTGCTGAAGCAGGAAGAAGTGGGGGGAAAAGTCTCATTTGCTTCAGGCTGAGCCAAATGTGGGATTTCTCAGTGTTTCTGGCCTGTTGGCTGAACTGAGCAAACAGTGATTCATGCAGTTCCAACATCCACAGCTTCAGAAATCACTTGCTCCCATGTTTAATTGTTCACCCAGTTAAATGTGCTCCCTGTTTCACATGTGAAATTCCCCAGGATCAGCTTCCAGCCACTGGTTCTCATTATGCCTTTTTCTAGGGAGCAAAAGCTGCCAACTTTCCACCCCCTCATCCCCTGAAGGCATTTGTTGTCTTTTCAAGTGAATTCAGCACTGGACTAATATGCAGAAGAACAGACCCAGAGATCTCCATCCTTCCCTGTAGCTGAACTGCCGGATCCTGTTTCCCAGCAGGTCCCCGTGTGCCTCTGTTGTTCTCCAGAGGCATAAAGCCACTAATGTCATTACTGGTAACTCCTCACTGACCTGGGCAAACCTGGGCTCATCCCACTTACCAACACCATCCACTGAGGGGCTTCTGATAGAAGATGGACTTGCCCTGTGCCAGTGGTTCCCAAAGCTCAGCTGGCAGCGAGCAGGCACCTTGCTGAGGGACCTGGGGGGTTTAGTGGGGAGAAGAGAAGGCTCAGGGGGACCTGATCGCTCTCTGCAACTGCCTGACAGGAGGATGGAGCCAGGAGGGGGCTGGTCTCTGCTCCCAAGGAACAAGGGATGGCACAAGAGGAAATGGCCTCAAGCTGCCCCAGGGCAGGTTTAGCTGGAGCTGAGGAACAATTCCTTGCCCAGAGGGTGCTCAGGCATTGGAACAGGCTGCCCAGGGCAGGGCTGGAGTCACCGTCCCTGCAAGTGTTCACAGCCCGTGGAGCCGAGGCCTCAGTGCCAGGGGTCAGTGGTGGCCTTGGCAGTGCTGGGAATGGTTGGGCTGGATGAGCTTAAAGGTCTTTTCCAACCTGGTTGGTGATTCTGTGACCTTCCCCAGTGAGTGCAGAGGATGTAACTTTGCTGGGTGGATTCCATATCCAAGCTTTTTTTAGGAGGGCAACAACCACCACTGGAGCCAATCCCTTGAGCTGATGAGGTGCCAGCACCCTCCCTGCACACCAAGGTCCCAGAGCCTCTTCATCATCAAGTGTGGCCTTCAGCCTCACGTCTGATGAGCAAGTGAGGAACCTCCCGAGGGGCACCCACTTACTGATGGGCCAATTGGTCCCCTGGACAGCCCCGCTTCTCCTTGTAGGGAAGCCTCAGGCCACTTCTACCCTAATTTAGGTTTGCCAGGGCTGACTTGGAAGCGCTGCTCCTGATAATGGTTGTCCTTTATCAGGCAGTGAGGCCCCATCCTCAGCCCAGGCATCTGTTGCTGATAACCAGAGATGATTTATCCACGTGTTACCCTGTGTATCTCTGTGCATTTCTGTCCATGCAGGGTTTGTTTTCATACTCTGGCCTTGGTGTCAGCTCTTTCTGCTTCATGCACGTGAAGGATGGGAGCAGAGACAACCCCAGTGGTTCTGCTTATGCTCCCTCCACACGTACAGACTCCATCTGCAAGCACATCCCTGCAGTGTGAGACACCGGAGCAATGTGGATGCAGGGGGATATACTCACAAATAAAGAATTACTCTTGCCACAAAAGTCAGTTACTAACAGAGAAGTCAAAAGAAGCAGTCAGCTCCAGTAGGAGCTTTTGATATTCTCTATTGTAATGCAAAAAGTTACAGGGAAAAAAGGTGGTTTAAACTGAAAACCTTCATTTCAAGGCTATCAGCATGGGATATTTTGCCAATCCAACTTCTCCCCCACTCCCCTCCTCTTTCTTTCCAAGTAAACCCTGGCAGACCCATCCCGTTCTGCAGACGGCTGGACTGGAACTGCAT